GTCCAATCAGGCTGTATAAAACGGCTAAAAAAAAATGAGACGATCTATATGGATGATGTATGTTTCCATGACCACACATCACCACATCACCAGAGTCATACGTATCACATCATGTGCCTTCAAACTCTTGACAGGAGGAAATAACTTCACACAATATACAGTATTATTAAAAATGTTACACATAAATTAATAAAAACATGAATAATTTGGGTTTAGCTTGCATTTTATTCAGCATTTCATTGCAGCATAAATTTCATCCACTGGGCAGCCAAACTTATAATTTAAAATCAAATTCTTCAGTCCGTGATGAGTTTCCAAACTACGCCGTCTCGTTTTCTTGTTTAGTTTAATGAACCCTGGGATAATTTTGGTCGTTCAGGCTATTCAACTGCAGCCAATGGGGTCTCATGAGAAGGAGCACACGAAATGGGACAGCCTTCGGCCTAACGGGACAGTAAATTCAGCCTACCTGGGCTGCAACCCCTGAATTAAAATACAGCCCAGCCATTGCTTTCTGAGAGTTCCCATCAGTCCAGTGCCTCCTGAGAAATTTTACTGACAGACAASTAATTACATTATCGCCTGCCTTTAAAAAGAACCTGTTTATCTATTGTTTTCAGTCATTACTCGGCTTCATCTCAGCTCTGATTCGATGCTTTAACAATCCTCAAAACACAGTTTTATGGTGATGAAATATTTAGACTTCACTGTTACTTCGGCGTTGCTACACTTTAACACATCTGTGTCTCACCGGGGCTCTTTGTTGCTCCTGTTTGTTTGTTTTTTATTCATGTCTAGACTGACTGTCTTTTAAATGAGTTGCAAGGATAAAGAAATCCATTTAAATCAAATCAAAAACACATTTAACAAAGTTTTTCACAGTAATGCACTCCTGATATTATTCTCACCAAAAATCGGGCAACTTTAAAGCCCGCAGGTTGAATTATTCCACTCTTTAAAAACCAATTAGCTGGCGGTTTCATGGAAATCAGAAACAGTATTTGATCTCCTGATGTCTTTTTGAATTTATCAGGGAATAAATTATACAAATTTGACAGTTCCCAAATTAAAGACCTCATCCCTCTGACATTTCTGTCAGGTGCATACCTAACAAGCTAAAATCCACTCATAAATTATTTAATTGTCTGATCTATCCATGCATCTTTGACTCACCTGATGCCAGTTTAAAATAACTTAATTCTTATCTTATATACTAAATAAGAGGTCCCCAAATGGTGCCTCGGGGCCAAAGGAAGCCTTATCTGGATACCACATATATATATAAACCATAGATAAATTATTACAGTATATTTACATTTAATGGATTTTTGCTAAAGAAAATGTTTTTAGGAACACCTAGCTAAGTTTTAACTGGGATATATGAAACAGGAAGTTGCCCTTTTAATATGAAAAGACAATTTTAAAGTTTATGCCATCTAAACCACTTTTTTGTAATAGAGAGGCACTAAAATAGAATTACCTTATCTCACAGAGGTGCAGTGTATATGAAAATGTACCTAAATTGTTGATAAGAAATATTGCGCCACTGTGTCACCATTGCCTCCACACGTTTTTTTTTTCTTCTTCTTTTTTCTCCTCCGGCAGTTTCAAAGCATTTCTTCATCTTGTTTCCTCACCCTGAAACCCACAAGAGCACACCCACTCAACCTCCCGGCCCGCTGAGAGCACTTGAAAGCAATTTTCTTTTAATCAAGTTTACTATAAAGGGCCCTCTGATGCCAGCCTCAGCAACACTTCCATTTGTTTTGTTTTGTTTTCTTCTTCTTCTGCTCCATCTCTCTGAATTATATTGATTCCTTTATGAGAGCTATGAAATACTGTTTACTCAAAGGGCGCAAATTTTGCTCCGTTTATTGCTCCTTCTCCAGAGGAAGCCTCGTTTTTCATATACGTGCACAAATTCAAACTGATTCCTTTCATCGTTAAATGAACCGACTTCTGTCCAAAAGAAGCTGCCAATGAGGCGAGAAGCTGCAAACTCTCTAATTTGATTGACAATCCATTAAACATATTTCATTAGCTGCCACATGATAAAGAAAAGCAGCGTGTGAGATGTTTGACACCATTGCGTGAAAAATGACTGAAATGGTCCAACTATCGCCAGAACAGCTTGCTCTACCAATCAATTAGCCGTTGCTGTTCTGCTCATTTTACTGCTGTTAGTGGTGGAAGTGGAGCTTGGATGCAGAATAAGTTTTCGATCAATGTGGAACAAAACAGACCTAAAAACAGTAGATTAAATGAAGCTGGCTGAAGATTTTCCTGAGGAAATGGCTTTCCGGTGAACTCGCAAACTCTTAAAATGTGTCCGGGCGTTTAACTTGACTATAACTGTGGAATAAATGGATCATTTAAAAAAAAATCGTACTTGTTCCAAACTGTTCCCCAAATGCCACTCATTAAGCATCAGCTTCTCAAGGCTCAGCGTGAACTCGTCCACCCCGTCGTCTCCTCCTCGTGTCCTCTGGGGGGAAACAAGTTCCTGCTGTATCATATTAATAAGGAACACGTTTTATAACCACTTAATAGTCGCTGACCTTGAATGTGAAGCGATATGAGCGCCGTCACCCTGCTGCATTGCTAATTCAATAATGTCAGAACAAGAGCACCTTGTTTGAGATACCATGACGTCTGCTTCAATCAGAATACAAAATTAGAGACGGAACAACAAGCACATTACACGGGGCGGAGCCAGGGGGTGGCCAGACAAATCTTTGGTCACCCCATTGGCCACCCTGCAGGACACACCCCTTCCACAGTGAAACAACCTTTAGGGGTGTAATAATCCTCCTGAACAGTTGGTGGCAGTGTTTACCAGTTTGAAATATTACCAAGCTCTATCACTGAAGAAGACTAATGACAAAGAAGTGATGATTTTCTTTATGTACAGAACATGCCTATATAATCTGATTTATGGTGTCAACCTTTGGACTTACGGTGACAAATGTTTTTTTTTTTGTCATTTTCTGCATGATTCTCTGTCCCTTTAGGTTATGAGTAGGCCTATCACTAGAAAAAGTGAAACACCCCTCTAAATTCACTGTTTGTGATTATCAATGTTGCACCTATTAATATTAGCTTTAAACATGCAGTTGAGTGTCATCCTTATTTGGCACAATGATGTGTTACAATTGAAAATAAATCTATAAACAATATAAAAGTAAAAAGCACCCTTAAAGTCATTGGATATGATAAATTGTGTCACATTAATTAACCTTATCTCAGCTAAAGCAGTGAGTTTAAAAACAGGATGATGGAACCAGTTTAATGAATAATCTGTCTCTGAATTAATTGTTAAATCAAGTGTTTATTTATGTAGGGAAAATTATGTTTAATAACCTGTTAAAAACACCAGAATGCAGGAAATGGCATCCATTTGATTCAGATTTTTCTGGGGGAGGACTGCCAGACCCCCCAACAGTGGACGCCCATGTTTATAAGGTAGTCACTGCCTGTATAGCARGGGTATCAAACTCATTTTCACCTAGGGCCACATGAGCGTTATGGTGGCCCTCAAAGGGCCACTTGTAATAAACGTTGACGTTTCATGTTTAACTTTGACTAAACAGTGTTTTAACAYGTCCTCTTTTAAACACTGATAAGAACTAAGTGTATGAGTGACTAAATCTGAAATGAATACAGAAATATTATTTAGTTYATGGTTGATGCTGACTTTAAGCAGCTTATTTTCAGACATTAATACTGTGCTATCCAACTAAATTCCTCAGTTACTTAAAGCCAACAGCTCAGGGACAGGAATTTATTAAATTTATTTTTATTTCCTTTATTTTTATTAAATTTATTTTGTTGCATTTAATCATAAATTAAAAGTTTACCATTGATAAAAGAAACAAATTTCATGCTAAGTAAAAAAATTCTTTGGGGGGGCACATGGGAGTCACCCGTGGGCCACATTTGGCCCGCGGGCCTTGTGTTTGACACATGTGCTGTATAGGGACATAAGGAAATGACCAAAACACAAAGATCTGCAGAAAATTTTTAAGTAAAAAATGATGTAATTTTCCTGACCTCCCCTGTGTGAGTAGTGGTCCCCATCTGGCCACCCCTGAGAAAAATATCTGGCTCCGCCACTGACGTTACATTGTCACACTTTGTATTTGCAAAAAAAAAAAAAAAAGCAAATATAACTTATTCAACCTAATAAATATTCAGTTTAACTTGTTTTTCCAAACTGTAAGAAAAAGAAGAAAAAAAACTTCAGTATTTAATTCAGCCCACATCTAGTAAAGCAGAAATAACATTATAGCTACTAAAAAACTTTTTGCACAGAATATACAGTTTTGTGTTTGCATTATATGTATAAGAAGCATGACAGCACTCTAAACTTATCATTTATTGCTGCTTTGTCRGGGGTTATTTTTTGCATTTAAATGTAATGCACCAAGCAGGCATTTAGCAGTATTCCATCAAGCAGGGCTAATCCTGTTTAAAAAATACCCCTTTTTTACCCCCATTCCAAGTACATTTAGAGCATAAACCTCCCCAATGTGTTGCCAAAAGCTGCGACTAAATAAAACGAGAGTCAAACTAACACGCCTAATTCAGAACAGGTTAAGTTTTATTTTGGTCACAGTTTCTGCTGCTTAGAAGGTTAAAAGTTCACAAAATTCTCGCAGCAAAACAGGAGTTGGGAAAAGTTTTGTCTCAGCACAATTTATTTATTTAATTTTTTGGCCAAAACTCTTGGGTCAAATTTCATGAAACGATGAAGAGAAAGGAGCGTGGGCGCTGAACTGACCTACAAGTTCCTCCATAAGCTGCAGGGGCTTTGCTTATCTGTGCRCTGGCTGTATGTGAATTTAAATGTGGCAGAAGTTTCAGAGGCACATTTCATGGCACGCTGGTTCAAGCTGAAGGCTGAAAACGTGTCAAAAAAAAAMAAAAYCTCCAGTTTAATGAGACCGACACGGGTGTCTCCGTGCTGCTGAAGCTTCTCYGTGTTTTGTTCTTTCTTGCAGCTCAAAAGAACACGATGTACCGAGAGTGTTTCCTGTGACCGAAGCTGAAGAAAACTGGCTGTCCCGAACGCGCAGGTGAGTCTCAGTGTTCCACGTCTGCTCGTCGACATTAATAACAAAGATCCTTGAGGTGATGGATGGGAGGATCAAGTGTTGTGATGTGCGAGCACTGCCTTATGTGTCAGCATGACCAGTTGAGTGATCCATCATTGTGTTACATGGTTTTGGCACCTGCCATACTCGATGTGCAAAAGCAGCAAAAACTATCAAGCGCAATGCCTCATCTATACTCATTAACAACGCAGCACGTTTTAAGTTTTCCTCTTCAGCTCCTTGCAGTTAAATTGTCTCACAAAAGCTGCAGGCAGAGTGTTTATTTCCTGCATCACAAACTACATAAATCATTGCAAAATATGAAGCACAATGAGTATTGTTGCTCCAACAAAACTCAATCCAGGCACTACTTGATTAAATCTGCGAGCAATAAAGTGAAAGGAAATTGACACCAGGAATGCTACTGTAAAAATATAAAAATAATGCGAAGAAACTGAGAGACCATTTCCAGGGGAAATAGAGGAAAACGGCGTCAGCAAATCTTTTGTTCCATACGTCAAGTATTAAAATTTCAAGCAACACAGCAGCTTAATGGATTTTAATGAAACTCCCCCCAGAAAAAAAAAGAATCATTTAATTTAAACTTTAAACATTCTATGAGTAAAATGAGAGAGGAGAAATGACTAGAGTCCTGAAATATCTTAATCTCAGTTATTAAAATGTATTGCCTGTGCAGAAAAACACTTCAAATAGGTGAGAGAGAAAAAAAAAAAGAATAAAAGCTCAGACGTTAATAGCCTTATTTCCCCTGGCTTTTTTCCCTATTTTCAGCTCATATCATCCATTTTACTTTTCTATTTTCTGCAGCTCGCTTTGTAATTATTTTTTAAGGGAAAACGATACTGCTGAGAAAATCCGAGCTGCAGAGTTCAATGTTAATGAGTTCAATCCTGTCYACAAGTTGCTGTTGAATTTACATAAACGTTCAAAAAAAGACTGAAGAATATAGGCAGTGATCGTGTGGAACACGTCTCACACAGAAGGCTGACGTGTTAGTCCTCCTTGATGTGGTTGTACAGGAGTGGAGGGAAACGACTCAAATCCTGCACTTTATTGGGGKTTTTTTTTAATGATGGTACCCTCGCTAAGCTCAGGTTGTGTTGCGTCAGCGCCGACCCTCGCGGCCGAGCTCCGGTGACACCTTCCAATCTGTGTTAATGAGATGACTCCGCTCCGTCTACGGGTCACGGTGATATTTACAGAAACCGTTGTTGCAGCAGAGATCCACGCCTTCCTGTGGCGCTTCCTAGCCTCATTTGCATTGCTTTCAGACTTCCCGTTCTTGCTCTTCCCCCGTTTCGTCGCCCTCGCCGAGCTCCTCCGTGATCGACGGGCTCCTTCGCACTTCTCTCCAGTTTGTATCGCACATGTTAATTAAAGCCTCTAATTAGCTTTCTCCACTAAAAGGCCGCATTAAGTCAGAGCTGGAATGGCAAATGATTCCTGGCATTAGCATAATTGTGTTTTTGAAGTGTAAAGATTCAGGCATTAGGGATTTTTTTTTTGTTTCAGTGATTTGTTGTGTTTGTGGCTCGGAGCCCACGGGGGCTGCTGGAGGTCGGTTGGGTGGGTTACGGAGGCCCGGGGACACTACAGGAGCCCCAAACGCTAATGAGGCCTGCTACTCTCTGATGGAGCAGATAGAGGAAAAACAATACAGTGACGAGGTGCCAGGAGCTTGACCCGAGAATGATTCAGAGCGTGAGACAGAAAGTCACAAAGAGAAAAAGAAAACGAGGATGATCTAATTTTTTATCACCGAGCTGACTTTTAACCCCACTTTCCTTTTTAATATCTAAATAGCTAGTTTGTAGAACAAACTAAAGAGCTGCTTGACTATTTTTAATGGTCACTGGGTCATAAAAAGGCCCAAATATAACAAACTTGTGATCATTGCCTAACGTTTACTATGGTTTATTCTGGACATTCACATGACATTTACACATTTATTCAAACATTTAAAGTTGTCTTAAATCTCTTGCATAAGTTCGAGAAACAAGTAAAAAAAAGCAGTAAAGTGCAACTTTTTTCTTCTTAGTTTTTTTTCCAAATCTACAGTTTAGTGCTGCTATCAGTTTCAGAGCTTCCATGTGATGTGCTCTAATTAGTTTGTTTTACAAAACTTATTCTGGAGTGACACTTTGCTCAAACTGTTCAAAGCAAAGAAACGTCCTCTGCTCAAATGTGCTGCAGCGTCTTCGTAATTTTACCATTTCAGAGATTTTAGAATTTTATTTTTCGTGAGCGCTCCAAACGGGCCTGTTCAGATGTTCAGAGATATTAGGACTGTGTTCACGTTGCTTCAAAAATTCATCTTTGAAGATGAAGCCTTGAGTTTTTTAATCATCTTGCTTGATTGTTAGCTTTAATAACTACCCAAAATATTTTTTTTGCAATTGCACAAATAAGTAGAGTTCTGCTGGAATGTAAGAAAAAATGGCTGCACAGTATATCGACATTAGTGTCCAGAGGACCTGCAACCTGCTGAGTTGCAGACCAAGGTGATGGCTCCTATCTTTAAACATGAGGACCGTAGGGTGTTTTAATTATTGAGGGATTACACTTCTCAACCTCCACAGGGAAGTCTTAAACCTCAAATCTAAGAGGAGAAGTGTGGCTTTCATCCAGGACATGCAACAGTGGACCAGATCCTGCAGGACTGGTAGGGGGTTCACAGGAGTTTGACTGTCCTGTGCATGTGTTTGGTGGATTTGGAGACGGCTTTCTGAGGCATTCTGCTGGAGTATACGATATCAGGGATGCTTTACGGGGCTCTCCAGTCTAACCAAAGCGACAGATGTTGTSACATTCTTGGCACAAAGTCCTTCTTCCTGGTCGGAGTCCACTAGGGTTGTCCCTTTTCTTCAATCTAGTTTGTGATGTTCGTGGACAAGAGCTCAAGACCTACAAAGAGGGTGTTGTCAGTTTTATGAACCTGAGGGTCTCAGCTCTAGCTTTTTTTGTGCCTACAGGTCATGATCTTCAGCATGCATTAGGGCAGTCAGTGAAGAGTTTATCATGAGAATCAGGTCCTCTAACTCTAGCCGTGTTTCCATCCAATTATTATTCGAATTTTGAGTGAATTTTAAATATTTCGCAAAAAGAAAAAAAAACACTAAGAAATGCGAATCAGACGTGTTTCCATCAACTGGCTTGAAGCAAATCAGTTACGACAGATGCAAGCATGTAGTAAACAGGAAGTAAAAGTTGCATCTCAGGACCATGGAGAGAAGTTATCAGGAACGCGTTGCTACTATCGGGAAAGTTGTAATTATTGTCATAAAAACTAGTTCTGGCGATTTTACATGCGGTTGAGAGACGTAGAAAAAAAATGCAATTCTCTTCACGTTACGGGAATAACAGGATACCGAAATCAGGAGGAGTCAGCTGCAATCTTTCTGGTACCGGTGTTGTACGAAATTCAGTTCCCCTGTGAAAATCTGTTACCTCTGTGTTGGGAGGGCTGGACCAGTGATTCTCTTTAAGGTTAACCAGTAGGGGGAACAGATTTTCACAGGGGAACTGGATTTCGTACAACACCGGTCCGGTACCATTCAGACAGTCGGAACAGCTGATCAACCATGTGAGGTAAATGTTCGCTACGTCAGAACTTATTCGACAAATATGTTTCCATCTCTCCTTTTGTGCATTAACTCTTTTTCGAAAAACCCAAAAACCACCTCAAGCGAGCGTATCAACTTTTATGCGAATTAGAGGAAGTTTTTTTTCGAATCATGCCGTTTCCATTCACCTTTTCTGATGTAATACTTCAAAATGCGCATTCAAAAACGTTGATGGAAACAYGGCTTCTGAGATCATGAGGCTCAACTAGACAGATCCCTCTGGGTTGGGAACGACTCTTCCTCAAGTGAAGGAGTTCTAGGAGTCTTGTTCATGAGTGATGGTAGGATGAAGCTGGATGGACGGCTTGGGGTTCCAGTCTTTGAGCCAAAMGGCCAAAGGTTTTGATTTACAAGTTAGTCTTTATTCCAACTTTCACCTGTGGTCATAAGRTATGTATTATGACCAAAAGGATGAGATTTAGCAGATAAATTGGTCTAACTTCTTTTTAAAAAGGTGAGGAGCTCAGAGTAAAGCTGCTCCTTAGGGTTCAGCTGAAATGATCAGCTGATCACGATGCCTTTTGGACCCCTTCCTATGGAGGTTTTCCAGGCATGTCACATGGAGTCCCTGGGCCAGACCCAGAACTTGCTGCAGGGATTATGTTTTCTCTCTGGCCTGGAAATGMTTTGTGATCCCGCAGGAAGAGCTGAGGGATATCCGGGTTTCCCTTTATGAGCATGTTCATGGCCCGACCACAGATACAGTAAATAGATAATAAATGGATAGATAATGGAAACTGTTTGCCAGTAATWGACAGTATTTGATTATCATGGGTCCCATAAACACCCACAGCTAATTTATGTGATTGTGATTAAAATACTTGAGCACAAAAAGCATATTAGCATTGTGAAGACRTCAAGGGAAAAATAGAGGAGTGATGAAAATGTGGATTTTCCTAACATCATTCGTCCGTAGAAGACATGATCAGTCAGCTGCAGTTAGAAAGTCCAGTCGAGTTACTGGTGATTTCTGACTCCCCGYACTTATTAGTGGAAGTAAAAACACAGCAACTCTTTCGCCCCGAGTCATTTCCTTTTATTGTAGAGTGGCACACATGGATTTACTGGTGATTGCTGCAGTGCACATCCTCACCTATCAAACATGACTGAAGCTGTCACCATSCTGTGAATCGTGCCCCGGGGTAGACATAATGTACTTTTCAGGATCCTCCTCTGGGCAAGCTTGCTGTGTGCTGCTGTGGTGGAATTATTCACGGTGAACTTGCTTACCCCAAAGGCACAGAGGTGGAACAGTGATGGGTTTGTTGGGGGGGGGGAATAGCCAAGAGTGTTGTAGGATATGAGTTATTATTGAGCCGTGGTAGATACACACACCAC